GTTACAATAATCATGATTTGACTTTTATCTTTACAGTCTAACAGTGATAAATAACAGGGGCTTTTACAAGGCTCTTTGTAACTTCATGTCTAAGTAGGCCAGCCAGACTCACAACTTCTCTGTTTGTCAGAGTTTGTCAGGTCAAAAATCTTTCACCAATACAATCCTCTTGAATAAACCCACCTGATGAGGCGCCATAAAATGAAGCACCCCAGCATGGCATATACCCAAACTGGGGCTCCCCCAGACACGGGGCTCAATTCATCCTGCAAAGTAACTTCTACTGACAAATCTCCACAGCAACATCATGGTATTAAAGATTGCATGGACTGCTGCTTGATGTGGAAATCCACACATTAACAGATGTATTCTTATTCAGCAGGCTAAAAAGCAGGTCTCAACACTCTGAAAATGATGCCCCCTGAGACCATATCTGACACAGACCTTTTTCAGGTCTTCATCACACTTAACATCTTTCTTTTTTTCCCTAATCAAAAGCAAACTGGGACCTGGGCCTAGGTCTTGTTTGGTTAATGGTGTTTCATGGTTCATATAAATACCCGTGGCATTTTGGTCCCTGTGGAGGGCAATGGCAGACTATTATTTGAATGTAAATGTGCCTACAAGCCGTTAAATCACACTGTTCGACTTCGCTTACATCTCGGCTCTCTGACATTTCTGAGCTGGGAGTTTGGTGATAGCCTCTGAAGCAGAAGCTGTCATTCTGCAGAATAAATTATGCCTGTGAATTTACTTTCTTCCTCTTTTTCGATTAAACTGTTACTGAGGCCTAGCTGTTGTGTGGGGTGGCATTCTGATACAGATGATTGTTGATAGAACTTGCCCTGAGACATGGCAAAGGCTGCAACATGACATACAACTGTGACACACAATACAAAATAAAGCCAAAATTCATACAGATACATGCAAACACATAAAAACTGTGTACTGTGTATATATATATAATGTTTGATTTACAGTACGTAATAGTTCATTTTGAGAAACTGTTGTGCAATTCACATTTTATGCCAGTCAGATTCTTCTTTTGAGCAACTCTGACATACACATTTTGTAATATAATGAATACATTGTATTCTACAATAAAATGGGGAAAAAAAACATTTATGGATTAAATAGACTCTGAAGAAATAAAAATGAAAATGGACAGATTAAATAGCTAATGGAAGCTACTTAAGGAAGCACTATACAGTCATACTGTGCAAGGGGACTACTTGAAAATTATGAAAAAATACATTACATATTTTGTGGTGCTTTTATGAAAAGTTAAATTTCATTAAGTCAATTGTTACATAACCTGGGTAGTGCATGTCTATGTAAATGTACAATGTGTCTGTTTGTACATACCCCAGCGGAATTACTGTTAATGGTGACATAACTTTCTTTTCTTTTTAGAGTTATGTTTTAAGTAAGTGTCCATTTCACAATTTTTTTCAGGCAAAAAGATCTACATTGCATACATCTCCGCATGAAACACCAAGAAACTAAGCACCCATATCACTCTGCAATCACAACTGGCAACCCACTGAAGCTCAGCAGGTGTGAGCCTGGTCAGTAGCTGGATATGAGACCTCCTGGGAAAAACTAAGGTCGCTGCTGG